GAAAACCGGTATAACTCTTGCAGTTTTAAAACTTTCTGGAAATATTTCTAGTTTTAAAGAAAGATTAAAAATATGCAACAGTGGTGTTATTAAATAATGCATAGATTTTATTACAACATTACTGCTTATTTCATCAACTCCTAATCCTTTGTTTAGTTTTAACGTTTGAAAAGCAATTAATAACTCATTTTTAGTCAGTTTATTGTTGGTCATTATTGTATTGTTAGCAGTTAAATATGACTCTACGCTAAATTTGCCAGGTTTTAGTTTTAAGGCTAAATTTAATCCTACACTAACAAAAACTTGATTAAATGTTTTTGCAATTTTTGATTCATTAAGTATATCAACGCCATAAAAGTTTATTGTTTTTTGGAAGACAAGTAGTTGATAACTTATTTTTACCAATTAAATCTTTAATGACATTCCAGGTTTTCTGAGTGTCGCCTTTGAATTTTAGTAATTGATTTGAATAATATATTTTCTTTGAACGATTTATATCTAGCTAAAAAATACTTTATATTTTTTATACTTGGATTCATTATCAAATGTTCTATTTTTGAGAAATTTTTCGTACAAACGTTGTTTCTTTTTTGATGATTTTAATATTTCGATAGTTATCCATAGGTTCAAATACATTTTAGATTTAATAACTTTTTTCATCTCTGGAAATGCATTATTGTAATGTTTTTGAAATACTTGAAGAAAATTGTCATAAGCTTTGTTAGTGCTTTTTATTTGTAAAATATTTTCCCAGTTTTCAGAAGATAAAGATTGATTAAAAAGTTCGACAGAAACGTCATTAATGATTCGCTTAGTTATTTTTACTTTTTGTGAGTTTTTTGAAAGATTACATTTTTGAGTTGCAATAAAAATTGGAAAATGATCCGATATATCGGATATAAATATTCCAGTTTTAACTTTTGTGTCAATAAATTTGTTTGTTACAATTTGATCTGAATGAATTTGAGGTTGCACTATTTTTGGTAATTCTAGTTGGTTTATTTATAATTGGAATAAATACATTTTGAAATACTAAATTAAGAAAGTTTCTAATTTTTTTATTTGAGTCATATTCTAATACATTTAGGTTCAATTTGCCTACAAGGTAAACGCATTTACTACAAACATCTTTATTTGTAATTAAATTTTTTGTGTTTATCAAATACTTTCATATTACCTGAGGGCGGTCTGTATAAAACATGCACAATTATGTTTTTGGTAGTTTTACTGAATATTTCAATTGTCAGTGACTCCGTATAACTATTCCCGATGGGAAATCGGCTAGAGAATAGCTAGCTATAATCGTTACGATAAAGACAGCGATTTGGTCACAAGGATCGCTAGCTTTTTTAAGTTAGCGAAAAGCTATCGATATTTGTAAAGATAAAGACAGCGATTTGGCTACGAGGACAGCTAGCTTAATAAGCTAAAGGCTCACAGGCTATTGTTGCTACCGTCATATCGTAATAAAATCGCTGTCAAAAAAATTTTGGTATGTAGCTATCAACCAGCTATAGATTTGTAGATATTTTGTAGCTAGCTACAAAGCTACGATATGTAGCTAGCGACACATTGCTACAAAATCGCAATGTTTAATGTTCAATTATTCTCTTAATTATAATAGACTCAACACTAAAAATCGAATTTTTAAAGATGTTAGAGACATTAGTAAAGAATAAAATAAGAAAAAAAATCGCTTGAAAATCGTTATGAATCTAGCTAATTGCTAGCTCATTTCTCACCGGGTTGTATCGAAGGAATAATCCTCGTTTATGTAAATATTCGTTCCTTTGAGTTTGTGTGCGTTTTTTAATATTTGAATCTTATCTTTATAATTTAATAACTTCATTACTATAGTTCTTGAATTTATCTTTCCTGTTCTGTGTGCCCTTTCAATAGTAGCTCCTTTTATGTTGAGATTGTTTTCAAACACTTTAATGACTTTTAATTCGGTTTCCTCCCAGCTTTCCGATTCGTTCTTTTTAAGTCCATCAATTCGTAGATTGTTTCTTCTTTGCCTGTCTTCTAACTGTTTAATTTTTTTTTTTTTTGACCGATTTCTGTTTTGTTGTGAATTTTTTCCTCTAGGTCATGAACTTTCTTTTCTTGAATATCTTGGGAAAAATTAAGACTCTCTTCAATATCTCTTTGAACGCATTCATTTTTTTTAGTCGTTCGTTGACATTTTCAAGTTCTACTTTCCTTGAAAATTTTTGAGTTATCGATCACATTATGTACCTCAAAACGATGTTTTTCTTTTATATTGAAACCTAAGTTATAATCAAAAAAGTTGTTGAGAAAACATAAGTAATAAAAATTATTTTATATGACGTCTCCTAAAGATTTTGTTTGTTAAATCGTTTTATCTCAAAACTCTAAAATGTGGAGATAGAACAAGATAATTGTAACTTCGCGTATTGTAAACATACTTATTACTACTATTATTTGTATTAATTTTGTTATCTTATATTATTATTATATACTATTGTTACTATTGTTATTATTATTGTTATTATCATTATTTAAATTATTTTTAATAACATTGGAAAAATGATTAACGGAAAATAAATAGCTAGTTATTGTTGTAGTTGTTGTTAGATAAATGGAGTATCACAAGCTTGAATGGAGGTAGTCTGTCAGTTAAGCGGAGTAATTATTTATTTGCTTTTTTATGCTTTATTTGAGGTTTAGGATCAGGGTTAGGGTTTTGGGCTAACTAACATGGTAGAACAACCTGAGCCTTTTTTTAACCTTATTCAGACCAGATATGAACTTAAATCTGACCCTAATCATGACCCTCATCATCCTTAACCTTGTCCTCACTTGATATATTTTGGTTAGTGTGCATTGTTTCAGACGTAATTTCGACAAGCCCCCAAAAGGCAAATAGCAGCAAGGCTCGCGATTCGCTATTTGGCCGTCCCTGGAACAATAGTTAATGAAAATAGAGCTACTCGCATGCTTTTCATCTTTTTTTCCCGGAAAACTTTGTAATTGAAAGTGACTTTATGAAGGTAAAAAATAACACACAAAAAAAAATTAATGATTTTTTATTCAAGTATGGCAAGAAAAAGAATTTATTTTGCAGCTGTTATTTATGCCTAATAAGACTTACATTTCTACCTGCTCCGGGTATTAAATAAAAAATCATTGTGTAAACTATAATGCCGTGGCTAATAGGTCAGAGCCCCTCCTCTCTCCTAAAAAAAACAGAAAACAAAAACAACAACCCTGGGTCCATAATAACAATCAGGGGCCCAAAATCTAAAAAAAAATTTTCCGCAAGGTATTACTAAAAAAGCAAGTCTCCTTAAAAAAATTAAAAAAAGGCTCAATTAAATTAGCCTCCTAAATACTCCTAGCAACGGCTCTCTATGAAAGACATTAATAGACGTGACAAAAAAATTACAAAAACAAAAACAAAAAATGAGCGCGCGAATAAAATAAAAAAAAAGCATAAAAACGATTGGGTAGTTGTTATTCGTAATTAAAAGCCATAACTTTTTTTTAGGGGGAAAAAATTAATAAAAAATAAGTTAATGCAAAAAATAATTGCATATTTATTAAATATTTTGAATTAATTTTTCTGTATACAATTAGATAATTATTAAAGTTTAAGTTTGTTAAATACTTTAAAACTTAAAAGGGGGTTGTCTGTATAAACATAACTTAAACATAAACAACCTCCTAAATAATCTTTCTTTAAGTATTTATGTTCGATTTAAATAATGTCGAAATGGTGTGCCTTCAATATTTTACAGTTATTTTACAATATTTTACAGTTACCTTTAGCTACAGTTTTTGTTATTTCAAAAACTAAATATATACTTTTATTTATAATTTAAAGAAAAACTTTTAACAAATGAGTACATAGTAAAAGAACTTATAATAATTAAAATATAATAATTATAAATATTTCCAACAAATTTATTAGCAAATTTTGTATGATAAGCATTTACTTTACTACAGATTTGAAAATAATTTTATGTTATTCCTTTATCTTTTTTATACAAATTGATTAAAAGATATTTTTTATCAGTAACTTATTATTGATTAATCGATGTATTTTTATTTAGTTCCTTGTTTAGGTTATTAAACATCTTGGTGTATTAATTAAATGCAATCTTTCGTGGATTTCTCATATTCATAAATTTTGAAAATAAATAATTTAGTTTCTGAGGAATTCAAAAATTTTCTTAGGAATTATTGGAAGCATACTGTTAGCTTATTAGCTCGAGCTAACTCATAAATTTAAAAAAAATAATAATTTAGTTTCTGAGGAATTAGAAAATTTTCTTAGGAATTATTGGAAGCATACTTTTAGCTTATTAGCTCGAGCTAACAGTATGTTTTCTATAATTTGTTGTTAAACCCATAAAATTACTTTTAAAAATCTTTTCTTTAGGTTATTTTATACTCATCTCAATTACTATTGTCAAGTTTGGGTTTAAGTTACCAACTATCACAGTAAAAATTTATTGTCTCTATGTTCATTTAATTCAGATGCACTAGCCCTTCAAAAAACTCCAACCTTTTTAGTGCTATTAAAATGTGTTAATTTTTTTGTTTTGTTTTTGTATCTCTAAATAAAAAAAAAAGATTAGCCTCCTCGATGTAAAACTTTTTCTTTAGCACTGAAAAAGTGCCATTATATTATAATATATTTCTAACAGATGTTAGAAATGAATATGTGTGTTTATATGTTTTTTGTTAGTTCTATTATGTTTAGTAATTATCATTCTTATCATTCATTAAATTTTCATTATAAAGTAGTAATTATGATAATAATAATTATTTTCATTGTTATTGTTATTATTGTTAGTATTGTTTTTACTATTTTGTTTTTTAGATAAATAATATTTTTATTTTTTTGTGTTTTGTAAGTATAATATATTAAATAGTTTAATATTTTTTAACAAAAATTGTATTATCCATATTTTTTTATTTAATAGTTGATTAAATACTTAAAATGATTGTAATTTTTATTTAATTTTTTTAGAAGTAAGAAAAATAGTTATGTTAAAAATAGAATGTTGAACAAATTAGGTTGTAATTTATGCAGAAAACAGTAGTTATTCCAAAGTTTTGAAAATGACCACTCAGCCAAAACGTAAAGAAATTTATAAGTACAATGCTCCATGGATTGTTTATGGAATGAGTTGGAGTGTTCGTCCTGACAAGCGTTTTCGTTTGGCTGTTGGTAGTTTTATTGAAGAGTACAGCAATAAAGTAAGACAGTTTTATGCTATTGTATTATAATTATTATCTGTTTGTTTTATAATGTATATTTAAAATGTTCAGAGAGACCAGATTTTTACCCCTAATTTGAGCAACAAATTGGGGCCCAACTTAGTTAAGAAGGATTTATGCATTGTTTGAAAGAATAATCACAAACATCAAAAGGTTTGCAATTTATGGGTAATACTTTCCTTGTACATTTGCAAATGCTGACATAGCAATAAACAACAGGAAACTGTGTATATAGATTGTGCTTTGTTATTTTAAATTGTTTTTTAAAATTGTAAATAAAGTTGAACAAAATAATAGTTTAGTTAGTTTTTATATACCATAATAAAATTTAGACTAAAAGAAATAAAAATAAATATTTTTCTTTTTTATAATCTTAATGTTATCATACTTAAGAAAAACTTACTAAGTATATATGAAGTAATTGTGCTCTTAAAGTATAACAGTCTTATACTCATAAATTATTTATAGCATGTCTATTTGGGCGCATCCAACAAAAGAAGATGTGTAACATAGGTGTGTCCAGACCATATTCGCAGGTCGTGCACAACAGTAGGGTTATTCCATATCAAGTCACCTAATGGTCCCCAGGTTACTACCTCAAATTTGCTTTAAATTTTAACCACCTACAGCTTTTATGAAAAAAACACAATCCTGAAAATTTCAGCTTGATCGACCAAACCGTTCAAAGGTTATAATTGAATTAATATTGACCAAAATTGTAAAAATTTGAGAATCTGAAGCTTACAGTACATTTTTTCGATTTTTACCAGAACATAACTTTTTAAATAAAATAGATGATCACCTGAAATTTTTAAGGGTAATTGTTTTTCCACCAAATTATCTATTTTTGTAGGTGTTATCAACTGGGCATTTCCATTTCTGTGCGTGATTTTTTATTTTTCTTTGTTTTAGCAATTAAAAGCTGGGACTTTATGCAATATGCATACTATTTTGATTTTCTTAAAGAACAATTATAACTAAAGTATTTTTATCATATTTTAGGCTATCTGAATAAATTAAATATACACATTTTTACAATTTTATTTTTTTGAGTAATAATATTGCTACATTTTCAAAAATATACAATAATTTTCAAAATGCCATACTCTAGCTAGAAATAATTGATGACTGCCGTTTCTCATCGAAAATATATTAAATATGAGTCGCAGAAGTATAATATTTCACTTGAAATACTCACTAGCAATTTATTTTCATAAAAATAACTACATGAAATTGACAAATTTGCAACATCTGTGCGTGACTTCCGTGCGTGATCATTCATAAACTGCATTTAAATGATTGCTGTGACTCTATGATTCATAGTGCAATCCTGTAACTTTCTGAAAATCTTTACTAATGTTTAAAATATTATTTAAAAAAAAAAGTATACCGGTGAAACTTATATTGTCCGAGGAATTAAAGTTTATCTAGTAACTAAAATAGAAGTTTTTCTGTTCCGTGCGTGATTCCATTTCAAACTTTATTTATTCTTTGTTAACATTACTAATTCTTACTATTTTTTGTTTACAAAATATTTATATTGATTTGAATTAAATGAGAGTAATTGGAGATCGCTAGTTTTATTTTTATGAAAATAAAAGTAAAAACATATACGAGTGTCCGTGCTTGATTGTTTGGAAATGCCCAACTGATTTTAAACAGTTTTTGAATTCTTTTACCTCAAAGTTGCTAAATAACGCAATAATAGAAAAAACTTTGGAAACTTTAATGTGCTACAGTTCAATACCAACAGACAAGCTGTGCCAATTTTTTGTTATTTTTGTGTACTTTGAGTAACTTGTGGAAAAAGTTAAAGTTATGTATTAAAAGTTATTTTAACACTTGCTGCAGCCTGTTAAAATATCACTTTTTTTAAAAAAAATTGAAAGTAGTGTAGACATTTAAAATAAATTATGAAACTTTTTACTGGCAAGGTTCTATATATAGACAATCACTAAAAAAATTTAAAGACCTATACTTTATCTTACGACATGATTGTATCCCTATGACTATTTTTTTTTTAATTATTTTTTCCCTAAATAAATATAATCAGTTTTTCCTAAAATAAAATCATCAGTGTCTTAACCTAATTTATTTGATATGATTTTATGATATGTATTTGTTAAATTTTTATGCATACAGTATAATTATAATAATTTAATTTCCATGTGGTTATAATTTGAGTGTAAAATACTTCAATTGCATCAAGAGTTTGTATTAAAATCTGCACAGTATTTTCTTGAATTTATTATTTTAGTTTTTAATATTGCAAGAGCCAAAAAGTAAAAGTTTTGTGCATGTAGAAATAGTATATCAGGCTTTCCCAGGAAAGGCGTGCGGTCGCACGCCTTGTTTGTCCATGCATAGAATAAATTTTTCTGACTAACTGACCACGTTTTATTATTATGCGTTTCAAGAATTCGCGCCAAAACAAAGCTAAACGAAAATACCGTAAAAATGCAAGCAATCTTAAAGTAAATAACAGAAATCTGTTTGTACTTTAAAATTAAAAAATTAATGTATAATATTAAAAAAAAAATTTACCTATATTTTATATTTTTATTTTTTTAGGGTGGTAGTTATTTAAGCTATGAAAAATCAAATCAATAAGAAAAATCAAATCAAAAAGAAAAAGATTAATGTTTAAAGAAAATAAAAGGACCTTTTAATGTAAAATTTGTTTATGACTTTTATCAGTCAGTAATACTTTAAAATTCACGCTGGAACTATAAACAATTTTTAAATGTTTCGTAAATACATTTAAATGTTTAAATGTATTGATTTTAATGTTTAAATGTATTGATACGCAAGAAAACACGAAAACGATTGCTATTTATTAGTAAAATATGTTGTTTTTTTTTTTAAATGAAAGAAAATTTTATTGTCAAACGATTGAGTTGCTTATTTTGCAATCATTAATTGACATTGTGAACGAGTGTTAATATATAATAATGTCCCGAAGGAACTGTTTTCGTAACAATGACAACAGAAGCAATGCAATTATTTTTTTAACTTCTTTCGTAATTACAAAATTATGCAATTGAATAATTTCAACGTAATAATAGGCGAGCATTGACTCAGTATAATCAGTTTTGAATAAGTCGAGAAAGAACTTTTTTCACATTAAAATTTTGTTATGTTTCAAATCTCAAATAATATATTTAAAAATTACAACAGCAATTTATTTTCTTGTCTAAGTACTGGGGAATAAAGTCATTGCCTTTGCATAAACCTTCGTAAAAACTAAATTAAATGAAAAAGTTTAACCAAATTTGTCTAGCGAAAATAATGAATCAGTTTTTTAATACATTGTCTGATAAAGTTCGTGAATAAATTACGTATCAAGTCTTTTTATTTTCGTGAAAACTTTATGACTTATCGTCGTCTTTTCCTTGACTTGTATCAAATTTCGTAGCTGAAAATAGCAACCCTAATAAAAGAAAACAAAAACAGTATAAAAATTTTGAAAAAAATGTTCAAGACTTATTTTTTTTTTTTAATTTTTTTTTATTATCAAAATATTTTTCTTACATCCAATTTCAATTTTATACTTTGTTTAGACTTCGTTTCATTTTTTTAATATCATTTTTTATTTTCTGTGGATAATTTCCGCTTTCTTACGAAATAATGCCGCGGTCACGTTTTCTGAAAAATTTATTCTATGCGTGGACAAACAAGGCGTGCGACCTCACGCCTTTCCTAGGAAAGCCTGGTATATGTAGAAATAGTTTACTGGTTGCATTTTAGACAGTTTTAATCACATTTATACTTGAGATTTCATTTTAATGATTTTATTACTGGAAAAATATAAAAAAGTTTATTTTTAGATTATGTTACATGTTTAACCCTCGATTTTAATATTTTTAGATTTGTAAAAAATGTCAGAGAAATGTTGTGTGGGAAGAGTTTAAAGATTGTGATAAAATATCATCTTTATTGGAAATATCTTCAATCAAAAGTGTCAGAAGGTGTGAAAAATTAGGATATGGAAAGCAAAAAGCTAAAAAAATTGCAACAAGTATGACAAACCTAGTAGCGTCAGCATTGGGTGGAGACCCAAAAGATAAAGTATCTGAAAAAAAGCAAAAATGTATAAACTGTAATGATTTAGACCAACTGTTAGATGCAATAAAAAATAAAGTGAAAATAAGTTTGAAGGAAGAAAAAGTCCAACTTCTAACACTAACTTCTGATTGTTGGTCAATTGAAAAAACTTGCAAAACATTTTCAGAACATCTTGTTAAAAAAGATCGAAAAGATATATGGAAAAGAATGAAAGCTGAAGGAATACTTGCTAAACCTGAGGCTAAAATAGGATAGCCATTGGAAGATATTGTTAAACAAAAAGTCATTGAAATTTATGAATCTGAAGAGTTCACAAGACAATGTCCAGGAAAAAAAGACTTTTGTGTGTATAAGTAATGTAAAAGTTCATAAACAAAAACATTTAATATTAGTTCAAATAAAGGAACTTTATCTTGAGTTTAAGAAGTTATACCCTAAACACAAAGTTGGATTCAACAAGTTCTGTGAGCTAAGGCCAGAGTGGTGCATTACAGTTGACAGTAGTGGAAGTCATTCAGTTTGTGTATGTTCTTATCATCAAAAAACTAAGTTGATGTGCCCTGCTTTACCTGAGACATTTAATATATTACAAAGGTTTGATGAAAAGAAAAGAAGTACAATCCTCCTACTTATCAGAGGCTAAAAAACATTAGATCAACACATGTACCATCTTGAAAATCACTAAATGTTGAGCACCATTTCTTTATTACATTCCATGGCAAAAGTCTATGTGATGAAATAAGAGGAACTATAAAAAGAAAAGAAGCAAAAGCGAGTCTACAAGCAGCAAATGCAAACCAGATTCTCACACCAAATGAACTGTTTACATGGGCTGAAAAAAACATTAAAGGTGTTAAATATTTTTACATTTCAAGTGATAACATCAATAATCATGAAACTTATTTTAACCTTAA